AATTTTGAGCCCTAGATAGTAAATTCTGTTTATGAGGCAAAAATAAAACACTTGGAAGTCAGAAGCATGCTCAGAATGTAGCAAATACTTGGCAAAAAAACAGTTTTTCAAGCTTCACATGGAAATTTTTCATATATGCAGTTGTATATAGCCAGATTTTACTCTCACTGTCTTTGCCATTCATCCAGAGTATATGGCACTAAAATAATCAGGTTTACATTGATGTGCAAATATCAGCAAATGGAATAGCTTTGCTGACAATCTAGAGGCTTTTAAATAATTTTGTTATTGAGATCTTTAAATATTGTTGATAACTAGGAGGAAGTTCTACATCTCACTAGACTTTTATCTTTTCTGGTCTCCATAGTAATGGCTAGTGCTAAGGGAACTTTCAAGCAACACGTGGTTTTATAGATGTATTCTTACTATTAGCTTATTTTATTTTGTTCTGTCATATTTATTAAAAATTGTAAATGCTTAAAAAAAAAAACAGAATAGAAAAATGGATTAATCTCTATAGATTAAAAGTATTGTTATACAAACAAGAAAACTCACCTATTCAAGTGTTTTGCAGGAATAAAGCTACAATATTGAAGAGATATTTATCTTTTGGAAACTTGAGCCTGCCTATTTTCTTAAAAATTGCACTGGATTAAGTTGTTTTAAGATCGAGAATACACTTGTGTAAGCAGATGATCTAGCTCTTCCAGAGAAGTGTAAACCTTATTTGAACTGATTTGATTCCTGACTGTTTTTCTGTGACTACATTGTCACGTATAACTAGGCCAGCTACATTTCAGTTAATCAGCAGGCACAGGACACGGTCAGTGTGCAGTGACACACAGTGTGGTGTGGGGTAAATTGCCTTTGCCTTGACTGGTAGGTGGCCAGTTATAGATTCTTCATTTTTTCCACTTGGGTATCTAAACTGGGGCTGTGAAATTCACTCCCAGAGTCGAATGCTCCAGGCACTGCAATATTCCGCTTTGTAAAATCAGAGTGTTGTTTGGATCTTGGTGTAAGTTATTAGACAGTATCAATATGTCCTGACACTCTGGAAAAGGGCAATTATATTCCTTCATCTGTAAACATTTTAAAAGGACTTGCTTCTTGTCTGGAGGAGACAGGTTTCCCTTGTTATACTAAAAGATATATTTGTGAAAAGCCTGAAGTCATTTCTTACAGCAAGAGAAAGTATACTTAAACAACTGGCAGAAAGAAATACGTCCACGGGTTGTGACCACCAACAGCAAAGACAAACTCAAAGGTGGCACAGTGTCTCTTTTAAATAGCAGGTAGCAGTGCTTGGGCATTTAACTGACAGCATTTCTCTGGATAATAACCTATAAAGACATGGCTGAGAGAAGGGGAAAATCATATAAATAACATCCTGTTCATAAGCTCCATACTAAATAAGAGATGTGTCTTTAATTGGGCAAAGCTGATTATTTTCTTGGATCTGCCACTGAACAGTTTATTCAAATCTGTAGTTTATCAGGATTCACATACTCTTTCTCATTCTCTTTCCCATCAGAAACGGTAATTGACAACTTCTAGCAAGGAACAGTTTATTAATCTCCAGTCAGATAAGTCCAGTTTACAATTACTTATTTCACTTATCCCACAAAGGGGAAGATTTGCTGATGCCTTGTTTTCTCAGATCTCATTTCTTACAGAAGCACAGACAACATAATCTATTTTAGAACTGGCTCGGGAAAAAGCAATTTCTCATCTGAGCTGTACTCCCCCAAATGATAGATTTGGGATTTCAGGACCGGTACTATTACCAGTCATTTTTTACAGTGTTTGGAGAACCTCGTCTCGACAGAGGTAAACAGGTTACAAACCTACCATATAAACTCTAAACGATCACAAAATAATTTACAGTTCTGGCATTGAATGCTTCACCAAACAGTTGTGCTAAATACATTTATTTGCACAATACATTCTTCTGGGATTTGACAAAGCAGTTTGTATAAAATAAAGACTGTCCCAGGCTTGGGTACAAAACTTGGCCCAAAGCAAACATTTCTGAAGGTCAGAAAACTTTGAGTAACTTGGTTTTTTATATTCAGATATGCTTTGTATTTCTTCTAGAAGGCAGGAAAATCAATGCCATGAGAAAAGCCTGTTATTTTAAATGAACTGACCAGAACCTCCAGACAACTGGAATGCTTCCAATACAAAACAATCCATCTTCTCCATTCTCTGTGCTTTTTTTTTTTTTTTCCTTCTCTTTTATGGTAACCTAAAAATGTGCAGCTGCCTCTCAACTTCCTTGGAAATGCTGGTGAACTTCCCCTTTGTAGTGAACTGCTCCCTCATCCCCATCAGCATAGGAGGCTCTGCTCATGAATTTCCTCTGCAGAGATGAACTGCAGTGATGGTCACCTCTCAGACATGCTTTGTCACATGGCACAGCACTTTAAAAATACTAAAAGGTGGAATAAAATGTTAGCTATCAATTCTTTAGTGTCAGAAGGAGGGAAATGCAGAAAAATGATACTTTATATGTTCATTGTTTTACAGGAAGATTAGGATTTATGACTTTTGACTATATATTCAGAACCTGTAGATAAGTGGTTAGTTGTCCAACACCTTCTGTGAATGTAATTATGAATTCAAAAGTCAAAAAATATCTTGAGACTGTATCACTGACTGCAAAATACTTATTTGGTATGATTATACTCCATTAATAATCTCATTTTTAATACATCTTTACAAATTATACTCTATGAATAATCTCATTTTTAACACATCTTTACAAATTCCTGTTTAAAAATCCTCAATTAAAGATTCCTTTCTTCTTAAATCTCACCTTCCTGGTATACATTGTATTCCCACCAGTTTCTTCAGGTTCCAGTTGCTGGGTCCAGTCTTGCAAATGAAAGACAATGGATGTGCTCCAGTTAAGTATTCAGAAATAGTGATAGGGGAAACCTCATTACAGCCCTAACTACAGGGCAGTAGGTTTGTAAGGCACTTGCCACTTGGCAAAGGATCTGTTCTCATCACCTCATCAATTACAGATTCCATGTTGCAGTTTTGTGAGCTGGTCCTGAAACTGAACTTCTGCTGAGCATTGAAAACAGTCAGGAGCAATATTTCTGTAGGTTTGCCAACACTTTTCATTTTGTCCAAAGTGGTTTAGGCTGCTTCTGAATATCAGCTTAATGGTGTAACCTGGCAAAACTGCTCATGGATCAGAGCACACCAGGTGCTCTGGAGGAAGTTAGTAAAATGTGTTTAAATGCCTTCTCTGGGTGGGAAGCTGGCATTTGTGCAGGGCATAAATTAATTCACACTAATTTTCAAGTGAAGAAGGCACTTTTCAAGTCTGCCTTTTCTCTTAATGGAGCAATTCCTGAAGACAGAGATTTTGGGTTGCTTTGAATCTTATCTCTTTTCAATTTATGCATAAAAAACGAATAAGCAGATAAAAGACAGTTTGCCTGAAGTTACTTAATCTTTCATAACATTTCTTGACTAGCTTGTAGAGCGCATCTTTTCAGCTCAGGCAGCGAAGAGGCAGGCAGCTCTCAGCACAGCTCCATCTGCTGACGCTCCTCCGTAGGCAGGCCTCAGGAGATGCTCTCAAGGTAATTTCCCTGCCTAGCTGCGAAAACAACGGAGTTGTAAAGTGACATGAAAAAGGAGATACCGTTTCAGAATGGGAAAAGTTGCAAAGAAGTAAATACATGTATTTCTCTCTGCCTATTTTGAAGCCAATAGATATACTAATGCTTACTTGAATGTGCAGATTTATAGAGAAATGTTTGAGGAACGTTATTGGAGTATAACTAGGCTATTACCATGTGAAAGAGGTGGGGGGAAGACTGTTGCTAGCCTATCATAAAAGTGAAACTCAGACTGTAATGACTAGCAAAGCAGAGCCATCCTCAGAGTTCTCATATAAATGTTGTTTGACAGTAGATATCACTACAAAGTAATGCTTTCAGTTATCACTGATGCTCTGACTCACCCGTTAAGTGAGTGCCATGCTAAGGAGCATTGCTGCTGCTGGTGTATCCTCATTACATGAGGTGCTTTAAACTAAAAGGATGTGGGTGTTGTCAAAGCTGAAAAGAGGTCAGGCTCAAATTAATAAAACTAGAACTGGGTCACAGCTTTTAAAGGCAAGTTCATTTTTTTCTTTATTTTTCTTTATTTTCCTTTTTTTTTTTTTTTTGGGTGTTGCATATTCGTGCCCTGTTTTGGAAGTGGTTACCTCAATTAATTTACAGATGTCAGATATACAACAGAATTCAAAGAAACAAATCTGTAGTTATTTCTAGCACCTCTGTATCTGGAAATCCCCATTTGTGGGAAGGAACTGAAAGATCTGCCCTTCAGTTTTCACATTTGTGGCCAGTATATCTGCTCCAGTATATCTATGCACAGTGACCAAACTGGTAATTTGGAATAATGCTTTGTTTAGAAGCATTATTATTATTATCGAAGAAGGTGCATATTAAGCTTAACTTAAACATCCTGACTTGAATTTGTTACACCACATCACGCATTCTCTTGAAAAGCAGTGCTCATTTGGCCTTCATCTAGATTTCCAGGAAAGAAATTACAGGCTGTGATAGCGTGAGACAGCCCTCTGAAAGAAGGAGCCAGAGTCGTAGTAAACCTTTGAGGTTTCCTGGACAAAGTGACAAACTGTCACGTTTAAGGAGGTAGGGAAATATGGTTGCCTCTCCTTTTCAGACTCCTGTGTAAACAAAAAGTTCTCAAGTGAAAGATTATACTTTTTTCGGTGCAACTGACACAGAAAATGTTGTTGTTGAAGGTAGAATAAGCTGTTCCTACAAGGCAGCTCAATCTCTGTACATACCTGTGATTAGACAGCTGTATAAAGATAAGGTCATCTAATGGTCTGTGAAATGTTCTGGAGAAATCATGTTACTGAGCTTAAAACTGAGGCAAAAAAATGATGCAACTAAATTCATATTCTAATGTGTCTTCTATTTGTGGTTTGTATTTTTTTTTATTAGAAGACAACAATGGATGGTCTCTGCAATTTGATAAACATTACACAAAGGACAAATACAATAAACTGAAATCTTTGTATGCATTTCAGACAAAGACACCTGAGTGCTGTAAGTAATTACAGATATTATTTGTGTGACTATTACTGATGATTCCCAGAAAGAAATACATAGCAAATATCCTGTCAGAAAGAGAAATATAGTGTATTTATAGTAAAACAGAACTGCCATCCAACCAGGAGGGCAATATAAACGTATAGCTGAATATATTAATACAGCTGTAAAGACCATGCAACACACATCTTTAGGAGTGAAATGAAGGCAACATTCCTCCAAATTCACTTCTTCATTCATCAAATGACTCTTGCAAACCCCCTCCACTTCTGCGGGCACTCATCCCTTCATACAGATATTCTGACTCTGCTGTTTACTATGAACGCTAACTTAAAGCACAGCAACAGGGTGGGCAAGGGAGCAAAGACTTCTTGACCCATTTTCCTTCCATTTTCACCTGGACAGAATTGTGTTTGCTCTAGTAAATATAAGAGGATTGAATAATCTAAAGAAGAGCCACAAAAAATCTGAAAAACTGCTACCATGCCAGATTCCTGTATATCGAGCCTAAAGCTCAAGCGTTTTACAAACTCTTTCACAGAAATAAGGAAGTAACATATTTTTCTGTGTCCCTTTGTATTTATTGTCAGGGTCTTCCCAGGTCTAAATCAATTACGTAAAAAAATTGTGCCTTAATTTCTGATTAACACAGCGCAATATGTTTGCCTTTGTGCTCACTGTTCTTTTACACCACATTTCTTTTCTCCCCATCCCATCACACCGCCCGAGTCTTGCCTTTTGCCACAACCATATTCTTGTTCTGACGCAGTGGCTGGTGCTGTGCCAGCAGAGTGTACCTGCCAGGGGCTGGAGATCTTCTGCGATGCTGCCAAATTGCGTGCTGTCCCGGCAGTCTCCTCAAACATCACCATAATGTAAGTAGAGCAGAAAAGTGGCCTCATGCTCTGTTCAGGCTTGATTATCAATCCTACAAACTTTTTACAACCACAGCCTGACCGGTTGGCTCAGCTGGTGCTTGTGAAAGCATAGTCTCTTTCTGTTAACAAGTCCTTCAATGTTTTAAGTACAGATTTTCCCTGCGTACAAGGACAGAAAACAGAGTAAAAACCTCTGTGTGAAGTGATCATTTCACGTTTGTAACAATGACTGGAGCTAGCAACTGTTTCCAGAAATATAAAGAAATCTTCAAAATAAATGTTTCCTTTTAAGACACCATGCTTAGGACCTTTTTATTATTCTATGATCCTGCCAATATTCCTAGTCTGTATTCCTAGTGGAATTCCTAGCTACCTTTTGCTTCAGCAAACCTTTTCAGTTCTCATTTGATGTCTCTGAATACACTATTATTTAAAGGGTTTTAGTCTGGTCAGGGTCATAATACAGGTCTGTATGTGAAAGCCAAACTTTTTTAAGAGCTCAGGGAATCATAGAGAATCATAGAATCATTAAGGTTGGAAAAGACCTCAAGGATCATCAAGTCCAACCGTCAACCCAACACCACCTAACTCACTAAACCATGTCCCTATGGTTGATATTGCACTTGGTCTGTACACCACTGTCTGAGAGGCCCTTCTCTGTGTGGTGAGCGGAGGGAGGGCAGCATCACGTGTCCCTACTTGAGGACCTTCCCTGCAGAGCAGGGGAACAGACCTTTCTGGTCAGTTCCAGTTCGTGCTCACATGTGGCTGAGCTTCTCCTTGTTCGGGCTGTGCTCAAATACCACAATACTTTATAACGAAGATCAGTGCAGAATGTCAAATACATATTTAAACAGGCGGCTGGCTGAGGGTCAATAAAGACTTAAAAAATAATGTCTCAGTGGTAGCTTTAGAAAAAGCAGTGAGTCAGTTCATCTGGCTTTTGGGATGGATTCTCTTCTAATCCAACCATGCCCTGAGTGATTTTTGTTCATGTCAGGACTCCTGAGTTGGTGCCCAATGGAGATGGGGGGCATAGGGACACATGCACTGGGAAATAAGCTCTATATGCATTTGAGGTTTGAAATAAATCTGTGGTTTAGTTTATACTCAAATCTTTTTAACTCCTAGATTTAACTATTATTTTGTCAGTTTCCCTGGGGACATGAAAGATTTTTTTTAATGATAAAGTAATTGGCTTACTGCTTAAACAGATACAAGCATTCAGACAAACAGAGGTAGCATATTCAGACGGTTTCATGTTGCTTTTATTATTTAGCCATGTGAAAGCTGCCCTTACTGAACAACAGAAGTGGCAGTGCTGTAGGAAGCTGGGGTAGGAGTGTCACTGTGTGCATTCATTCCTACAGGTCTCTTCAGAGGAATCTGCTCAGGAAACTTTCTGCTGACATTTTCAAGAAATATCAAGACCTTAAAAATCTGTAAGGGACTATTTACATTTAAAATCTCTGTTTAGTGCCTTAAATATTCATCCTCTCCCTCTCACATACACACAGGTCTTAACATCTAAGTGACAACCCTCAGTTCATACTCAAAATTCAGTTTTGTCTTAGCCTTCAGTACGTCATCTAATTGTGTAAACTGTTTGGCTCAACTAGCTTGGCTTGGCATCTCTCATTTTACAAAACCATAATTTTTGCTTTTTTTTATTTTTTTTGTATTGACTGTTCTATACCAGAAAAATGCTAAACTTTTATTGTGTCTGAAGGAAATTACATTTATGATGAATAGTAATATGCCAAAAGACATTCAAGTAACTTAATCCATCTACTCCACAAAATGAAAGTTTGAAAAATTAAACTTCCCGTTCTCATGGGGAGCTAACTCACATGGCACTTGGTTTTACTCCCAATTATGTCTGCTACCAATGTGATAATGCCCCAACTAGTCAAATTGTTACAGCAACACAATACTGTGCTGTATTGTATGATGTCTAACATATATGTTGTTCAAAAATCATAACCTTTAACAAACTTGGTTTATATAGAATTAGTGAAATTAAGAATTAAATGCAAAAGTCTAGAGCAGGGCTCTTATGTCACCAACTCAAGGCACTTAAGTGCCTAGAAAATTTACGGGACTGTAACTTTTTATGGAAACTGTGCTGTACTTCAGCACCATCTTGTGTTCACAAAGTGCCATTACTAAACTATTGAAATATATTTTCATTAAAAGAAATAATCATTAATAAATATTAATATTGGTGTTAATTAGGATTACTTCATTTTACACATTTATGATGTATAACTGTACATTTTCTGAAAGCTTTTGAGCAGTATTGGACACAAACCCATTTTGTAAAAGCCAATATCAGTTTCCTTGCTGCTTTTTAAAGAGGAATGCATCTGGATGATTTATTGACTGTACTGTAATTTAAAGGATTTGTATTGAAATATTTCACAGATAATAGCACTATAACGTTTGAAAATTATTTTAGAAGGATTTAACATTTGCAATGGATAGTATTTTTAACTCATTTAGTGAAAGTAGATGGAGAAAAATTGAAAGAAAAAATAGTACTCTTTAGTTTACAGAAAATTACCAGCATTCATTTTATATTTTTATTATATCTTAAAAATACATAATGTGAAAGTTCTCTGATACCATAAAAAGAAAATTTAAACCCATAGGTTAATTTCACATTTGCCATGCAAGATTTCGGTTGTAGCAGGTTTCTGGCTAAACATAAAGAACCAGGTGAGAACTGCAAGGCTAGGACCTAAAACAGGAGGTCATATACAACCACTTTGCTGTTCATCTCAGGCAAACCAAGTGTCTCTTTGAACGAATTTGGTAATGCTGCTGGGTTGTATTTCTTTTAAAACACCTTTGCAGTCTTTGCAGCTAGAGCTGTGAAATTGGTATTGTCAAATTTAAGATGTAACAAGTTCGACATCTTCTTTTCAAGTATGAGATGCGCATTCAGTTTAGTTGATAGACTTCTAGTTGGTTATTTGGGCTAGCTTTGACTTTTTGCTTACAGAATTAATAGCTGTTGTATCTTTTTAGGTACCTTCAGAATAATAAAATCAGAGCTGTATCTGAACGTGCTTTCAAAGGTTTATACAACTTGACTAAACTGTACGTATTGCTTTTGAATACTGAAGTAAAGAGCAACGGGAAGAGTTCTGAGGGTTGCTATGGATGTCTTGCTCTTATTTGGTTCAATGTTAGGAAGTTGCAAAATGGTCCAAATTTTAGCTTGGCGTTTGGATTGAGAAAGCGAAGAGCTATCGGTGCAAGTTTACCTGACAGGACAATACTTTGAAAATACAAGTAGGCTCCATATTTCGCTTCTGTTCCCCAAATCTGCAGCATGGAGAAAGGTGACAGTATGGTAGTTACCTGCATCAAGTCAGACAGAATGAAAAAAGAACAAAACAAAAGCAAGTGCTTGTGATGAATCAGAACTCTTTAACGTTGTATTTTGGTTTACAGAAGCAAACTAAAGGAACCAGGATTGGTAATGAAAAGAACAACACTTCCTTTAGTTTGCAGCAGCTTTTTGAAAGATGCTTCTAACTTTAAAGAAGATGCTCAGTGAAATAGATGATACATAAATTGTGTTGTTCAGTCAGCTTTTTGTTTCTGTAGTGTTTTAAAAGGAAATTTTTTCCTGTCACATGAGTGTGGTTGATTATCTGTTATTACAGCCGCTGTTACTACCTTCCCAGACAATTTATAGTGCACCCCTCCCCTTCCACCCTTCATTTCTCAGGCTTCTTTTTTCCATGGTTCTGGTATCTACATTTGACAAATGTCCTTAGCTGAGACTGAACGGGATCCTGGAACATTCATGGAATCAATCACCACACAGAAGGAAACTGGAAAGCGCCTCAAATATGATACAGTGAAAGTATTTAGCTTGCTGTGTTTTCCTATAGATAAGACAAAAAGTGCTACATAATTGCTCTGAAAGTCCTCACTACCGAGAGTCCTGCCTTGTTCTCAAAGAAGGGCTTGAAAAATAACATAATCAAAAACGATAATTATGAAAAAATGTTAGCAGTATTTTGATAAATTATGAAGGAAAAATCTTAAAACTCATTTTCATGCATCTGATGCTAATTAATCATTCCATTTGTTTATCTTTTGTTGGTCTTGCTTCAGATACCTGAGTAACAACAAGATAACCAGCTTGAAGCCTGGAGTCTTTGAAGATCTCCACAAACTTGAATGGCTGTATGTTGTTTCTTATTTGGATGTTTATTTTCTCAAGGAATAATTAAAGACAGAGAAAGAAATATTTTGATTGCTTTCATTTTTGTGCATAGTAGTACTTTAGACTAGACAATAATTGATGTTTATTTTCTCAAGGAATAATTAAAGCAAGAGAAAGAAATATTTTGATTGCTTTAATTTTTGTGCATAGTAGTACTTTAGACGAGACAATAATGAAGAAACTCCTGTTACACTGTGTGAGGTAAAAAGACAGTTCACTTTGGTGAGAGCAGGAATTAGTTCTTGGGCATTAATGGCTCCAATGACTGATGACTTTTACAGTACTAAAAGGAATTAGTTCTTGGGCATTAATGGCTCCAGTGACTGTTAACTTTTACAGTACTAAACAATGTTTATTAATAATTGCTTGTTACAAATTAATACAGTAGATAACTCAGATACTAGCAAACAGTAGAAAGATAACTTTTTGGGCAGGTTTTTCACTGTAAATAGTGCTTGAAATGTCCCAGAAAAAATGACTGTCATAATCTGAAATATTGGTTTATTACTGCCTTTCAGACAGATGAAAATGAAATATTATTTTGACTCAGCAGAAAATAAGAGCATGCCTAATTTTTTCTGTGTGTGTGTAAATGTTGGATAGCCGTGGGACACTGTTATGTGGTGCTGCTTTATTTTCACAGGGAATCCATTCAAAGTGTCTTGATCAAAGGATTTTAAAAATGTGCAAGAAAACACTTTTTTCAAAGTTGAAAGTAATGACTTTCTCTAAGTTGATTTTTTTAAATTAAATTCTTCTGAAAGGAAATTAATTTGATGAATACCCTGAACTGCTGAGGAGTAGTGCGTTAATTTTTTAAGTAGTTTGAACGGACATTTGAAGAAATCCACTTCAAAGTATGTTACTTTTTATCATCTGTTCAATTTAAGACTGCAAACAATTACAAAACTGATACATGTTCTGCTGTAATTTATAGGATAATTGAAAATAATAGGATAAATCAGATCTCTCCATTAACATTTTATGGACTCAAATCGCTTATTCTCCTGTAAGTATTGAATAAGAACCAAAAGTGTTATTTATAAGAACAGAACTGAAAGGGCAGATTTATATAAAAAATCTTTTTATAAGGACTCTGCTTGCTCACCGTGGAGTGCCGGCAGTACATCTGTGGCTTTTTCTTACTCCTGGGTGTGATGTGCTGGAGCAGGAGAATTTTGGCAGCAGTGGACATGCAGTGTCTGGAAAAATATAGGGAAATGAGTGGGAAAAATGCTAAAAAGACAGTGTCCCTGAGAGGGCAAGGACATGGCAGCTGCAGCAGTGGGTGCCAGTCGTTCTCCAGAGCTGCAGTGCAGGAGGCAGGGGTCCCAAAGTTCCTGTCCCCAGCGGCAGCCTGGCCTCCCTCCCCAAGACCCTGTCTGTAACCTGCCACTGCCCTCTCCAGCCCCAAACACGAGGGACCCCCTTCCCCTGCAGCCTGGAGGGAAACCTCCCTCCATCTCCCCCTTCCTCCATCACCAATAGAAGTTAGGTGTTATGACAGAATAGTCAAAACATGTATTGACTTGCTATGCTTTATTTAAAAAGCAGTGAACATCTTTCCTTTACCTGGTAATTAACAAGTTAAGGATAAAACACTGCTCTGCAGAATGCCACAGGGAAATATATGGAAGTTTAAGAAAATAAACTTCTGAAGCTTTGTCTGCCTTTTTTTTTCAAAAGTACAAACATAAGTGACATGATTTTTTTTCCATACTGTAATTTTTGGCAAATAACTAGCTATACTATTTTTTTTTTTTTTTCAGAGAGATGATGAATAATTCTCTTGCTCGTTTGCCTGATAAACCTCTGTGCCAGTATATGCCAAGACTAAACTGGCTGTAAGTCTACCTTATTTCACTAGAAAAATATTATTTTGTTGTCTTTGTATGGCACTTCCACGCCACTTTTTCTAATGGGATGCTGGATCTTACAGAGTGCCTGCTGGGTGACTGCAGGGTCGATGTCCTGAAGTCATCAATTAGGTGTGCAGAAATATTAGACGTCTGGTTCCCAGTCTCTTTTGTGCAGTCATGAAGTTCTGGTAGTATTTCTCTGTAATTACCTTAGAATAACTGCCTGAATTTCTTTTCGGTAATTGATGTTTTGTTTTTATATCCTAGAGACCTTGAAGGCAACCATATCCACCACATAAGAAATGTCACTTTCATCTCCTGCAACACTCTCACCGTACTGTAAGTAATAGGATATGCTAGCCAGCCAGAGTGAGAGATGCTTGTGCTGAACAGTCAACTGATTCATTACAGCTAATATAAAAGTTTCCTGAGGATCATGGTTATTTAGACATTAAGGAGATTAAATTAAAATGCTTGGTTTTAAATGACCGCCATACAGAATAACCACTGCTTATGTTTATAGCAAAGTTCAGCATTGATATATGCAACTAAACTTCACTGAAGCGATTTTGGCTGGTACTAAGAATTAGACATTTTCACTCTAACTTTTTACTTGGAAAGAAGGCAAAAATCTCATCATAAAAGTCAACCAACTTACAAAGTGTGTAGCTCATATCTTCATTTTAAAGAGATTGGTTGGTGGGTTGGCTGGTTCATCAATTTTAGAATTTTCCCCAAAGTTTGACTGATTACAACAATGATGTAACCATCTTTAGAAAACCCCATAAAATCCCTTAAACATTTTGCCAGATTAGTAGGGTCCATGGTGCCTGTCACTTTCCATTTTTAACTCTTGTGTAGTACCCATATTCTTGGCTTTCTCTTTGCTTTTAAAATCCAGGTTGTTCATTTAAGGAGAAAGATCAGTGGCAGATGAAATACGGGTGAAGGAAAACTTACACAGCTATGTGCCTGTACCTGAGATGAGGTTAGGGCACAAGCCTTCTAGCCCACTTAATCTTTCTTCTGCCTTCAGACAATTTATACTGGCCTCCTATGGGTGTGTGTATATTTATATATATATATACACACACACACACACATATATATATGCAAACACATGCATGTATAGGCAATAGAAGTTATTTATCAAATGGTAAGCTTCTATATCTGGTTAACTTGTTAACTGAATTAGGCAAATATTTGAAGATGCAGAAAAGAGAGAATTTTAAGTTTATAAAAATTTTTTTCCAAAACCAAGTAGATGTCAAGAAGCAGCAACATAAGTTTGTTTTATTCTTTCAGGGTGCTGAGACAAAATAAAATCAGCTCTTTAAATGAAAACAGCTTTTCCTCTCTCCAGTTGTTGGATGAATTGTGAGTTGATTTCTTCTCTTGCTTGTATAAGAAGTCACAAAGTTTTATAATTTATATTGCAAACACCATTTCTCATAAATTCTATTTCATATAACATGCTCTGGAAATAGCACCCACCCTCAGGGGTTTTTTTCTGTATATTTAACATGGAAGAAATAGTCAATGAAATACATACTCTGTGAGTATCAATAATATTGGGGATTTTGTTCACAAGATCATTATGTTCCCTGAATAGAATCATACTAATTAATCTTAGATCACCACAGTGTCTTTTAGACTGGTTTGCCAGTTTCAGTCAGACTGAGACTTTTACTCCTCTGTCCCCAGTTATTATGATCTGTGTTTAGTGAAAGTAAGCAGACACACAGAGACGAAACCTAAGGGAAAGATGTAACACTGGCTAGCCCATGTGAGAAAATTCCCATCATGAAGCAATAAATTTAATTTATTTCCAAGCTCCTACAACTCAAGTTAAGGGTATTTTACTTTCTTTTTGATGTAAACACAATAATAATAAATTATGTAGCTAATGGCATATCTGAGCTGACTAGACAAAGAGAAATCTGGTGGGTCTAGCTTCCCACCTTGCTTTAACAGCATTCTTTCATAGTCAAAGTTTATGATAACCTATATAATAAATAATATTTGGCAAACAAATTAAAATTTAGTGTCTTGAAACTGAAAAACTGTTTGGTAAAATTACTGAGCCTAGTAAGAACTTACTGTATCCTACCTGTGGCTGTTTCTGCAGAGATTTGGCTAGCAACAAGATTGAATCACTTCCTCCATATATATTTAAGGATCTAAAGGAACTTTCACAACTGTAAGGATGCTTGATTATTATTATACGTATATTACTCATTTGATATGATGCTTTGAGTCATGAATGCTGAGAAAGAAAAGAACACCTTTGTTTGTATGTCATTTAAGCTCTACCTGAAAAAAGCAATTCTATGTAACATTTTGCCCAGAATAGTTTTGTAAAAGACATGTATTTTCATGTCCCAAAAGAGAGCAAGTTCAAATTCTACCTACTTCTAGGTCTTGTTAGAATATATAAAATGAGCTACGTTAGCTATATAATAAGAAATTAATAATTTGATTATAAAGTTTAATGTGATATCATATTTTGGCTCTAAAAATAGATCATAAACATGTAAGAGCATCATACAGATGCCTTGTTTGCAACTGCTTTTTTTCCTGTGAATGAGTTCCAAAAAAGCATAAGGTATTACAAAACCAGAAAGACAGTCTGGACGTCTTTTCCCATGACACATATATAGGCAAATTCTCACACGCTGCTTTAGGAAAGTCCCAATCTTTCCTGCATAATCTGAAAGAGGCACTAGTCCCAAAATTGAAGAGCTCTCCAGAGGAGAGCAGGCAGTACATGGAATAACTTATTTTTATATTTTCCAGAACCCTTGGGATTCATCACAATACACTGGTGCCAGTGTGAACAGCCGCGTTTATTGAGTTTGTGCATTTTAGTTACAATATCAAAACAAAAACATAAGGAAAAGTTATAGGGATAAGAAAAAGGGAATTGACCTAGAAACAGTCTTGTACAGAGTGACAGCATCTAATGCTAATGTCTATTTTTACATTCCACTGCCTCTCTCTCTTGTTGAACTCACACAAATGATTATGAAAAAATAGATTTTAGCAACTAACAAGTTCAATTCTAATTTATTTCTAAATGCATACAGTTCAGCTTGGTTCTTTTACTTGAAAGACAAGTCCAGGAAGTTTAATAACTAAGTACTTCTATAGTCAAAACCTTTAAGCATCAGGTTGGGGGAGGCAGTTGTGTGTGCGTGTTCGTGGCAATAGCATGCCTGGGAAGCATCTGACCACTCTCTCCACTGGCTTAGCAAGCTGAACAACACTAAATTAATGTTGCCAATTGCAGTTGTAACTGCCAATTGTATGAGTCCTTCCTACGGGACTGGAAAAGCAAATGGATTATGTAGTTTGACTGGATTTTTAGAACAATCTGTAAGGAAGATACTTGTATCTGTTGTATTTACAGGAACCTTTCTTACAACCCAATCAAGAAAGTACAAATAGACCAGTTTGATTTTCTAACTAAACTCAAATCCCTGTAAGTATCAAGTTTTTGTATTTTAGCTATATTTTCTTTGTGATTATGCACACCTCCTTCAGAAGGACATGATCCAGAATAGGTTTTATAAGAAATTGCCCTTGAAGTAGTTCATAGTTTTGTTGTTGATGCTCAACAATTTGAGCCCAGAAAATAATTACTAGCAATATTCAAATTTTCCTTCCTGAAAATACCAGTCTTGTAATGGATTTTTTTCCAACAAAGAGATCATAAATTCAGCTTAGAGAAGGACATAATCTTTTCTGCTATTACAGATCAACGAGACCCTCATTCAACCTTGCACAATTTGTTCACAGGGCTTAAGGGTCATGCAAGGTCCAGTTGAGGATATTAGTGCCAGGGGCAGGCACTATTAGCATATGTAAAGACAGGAATTACAGAGGAATTTGGTATATGTACCGGTTTGGGGACATATTTCCCTTCTTACAGAATCTACTAACATTCATGAAAAGAATAATACAAACCAAGTACGATTCAGCTGCCATGTCAGAAGGAGGCGGGACTTTCACAATTTTTTTGAAGAGTTTAGGGGAGTTTTTGTGGGTGCAGTAACACGGCAGCTTGAGCTTGAATTCTGCCAGCAGAGCTCTTTCTAAAACTGTGTGATAGTGCAGTGACAATCCTGCAAATCTGAAACTATCCTGCAGTAAATATATGCTCATGGGCCACCCCATATCTACAATAAGCAGCTTGTTAGAGCACAGCATTGGGTCATGTCAGTCATCATTTCAAAATGGTTGTGGAGATCCAAAAAGAGATGTCTCCATGGATAGAGAGTGATAGAAGTTTATGATTTAATCCCTGAGCTGTAGCCAGCAGTGCAGATGCCTTTGTTGATCACTCCAGATTGCTTACAGGGGTTTGGAATCCAGCATCCAAAATCAAGTAAATTTGATAAATGGCTGATGAACTGAAAATACTAAATCTATACAAGTTTCATGAAAACAAGCATCTGAGCACAGAAAAGAATAATTAATTACCTCCCTAACAGTCAGGCTACAGTATATATTTTATCGATTATTTAACACCAAAGAACTCATGTAATTGACTGACCATGACCTTCCATATTTTTAGGTAAAGGAAGTTGTTAAATCTTGCGAGATCTACAGGAAACTGTATGTTTCAGCACTCAGTTTGTAGACCACGAGTTGCCGCTTTCCTGCCAAGAATAGCTGGGGAAAGCACACACCAGGGTTCATTGCAGTGCTTGAATGAAACTAACAACCTACCATATTTGGGGCTTTATTCTTGCCTCCTAGCAAAACTGCTCACCAGCCCAAAGTGACTAACCAGTAAGACTGGTAGCTTTCTCCACTTTTGCCTAAATGCACTCAGAACTCATGGGAATATCTCACTCAAAGCATTGAATGGCGAGTTCAAATCAGGCTCCCCACAAGGAGAACCAAAGACCTTGACAAGTTGCAATTTAGAAAACACGTTACATATCTAACCAGCAGATGAGATGGACTACAAGAATGCAGAAACTGAAGTTCAAAAAGAACAACTTACACAGTTACACTTGATTTCCCCTGCAGTGCTCGATCAGAAATAGTGCTATTTTCAATATATTAAAAAAAAAAAAAAAAAGAAATCACATCTGTGTGTCATGAGAAAGCCAGTGTTTTCCCTGACATGCCGTGTTCTGTGTCCCAGCTTCCTGCTGCCCTTGACATAATGAAGACTGAATTCCTGCAGCAGTTTGTTTGTCTAGTAAAGCACTCCCTAGGATAAAAAACAGAGGAGACATGTAAAATATTGATATTGGAGCAAGTTATTATTTTCACAGAGATGATGAAAGAACATCATTAGAACAATGTTTCGGAAGGGCACCATAATAATGGGAGATTGCACTGCTGAGAGCACTAAAAGAGCTGCCTTTGCGATTTTGGAAAAACAGCAAGTTTCTTAGAATTAACTACGATTCATTTTATTTCACTTCGGCTTTTACACAGGCTTTCTGTTCAAGTGTCAAAGGGATGACAGATTAGATGCAATTAAAGTTCATCTCTAGTTACATATAATTATACAAACACAATTAAACCCACATAAAGTTTGTTCTTTTACTACTGGGTTTCTATTGCCTTTTATTGAGGGTATATTGTTTACAGCAGCTTGGAGGGCATTGAAATTGCAAACATCCAGAGAAGAATGTTCAGACCCCTGAGAAACCTTTCCCACATGTAAGTAGATTAGTAGTCCAGTTTGCTTTCTTTGGCCTGAATTTTACAATTTACAGAATAGTGAATAATTAAAAACAAAAGTATATGAAAAGCGACACGTGAGCTGTTGTCAAATTTGACAGTTTTTAATTAATAATTATTCTTTCAGTATATGTTTTCTGAGTAGTTACTAGAGAGCTTTGATATTCTGGTAAAGAAGTTAGAACCATCTCTTGTCTATTTCTCTTTCTCACAACCAGATATTTTAAGAAATTCCAGTACTGTGGATATGCCCCTCATGTGCGCAGCTGTAAACCCAATACTGATGGGATTTCATCCCTTGAAAATCTTTTAGCTAGCATCGTACAGAGAGTGTTTGTCTGGGTTGTATCTGCCATCACCTGCTTTGGAAATATTTTTGTTATCTGCATGAGGCCTTACATCAGATCTGAGAACAAGCTCCACGCCATCTCAATAATGTCTCTCTGCTGTGAGTACTCCACGCATAAAAGAATGTTAGTTCAGTCTGCTCATAGCATGTATGATATTTGTTGTTATAATATTGTAACATATCTCTAGCACTGGATTAACTGAACTTCCATGTTGTTGCGAATGATGATACAAAATGCTGTGTACCTTATGCATCAGGAGGTCTCCTTAGATGCTGCTTTTGTTTTATACCAGCAGGCAGTCAATAAATTCCAAAGGTTTCACATTTTATTTTAATGCTGCGCGGGTATTGTGTCAAATTCACACTTTCTTCTGCAAGGAGAAATAAACTTCCAAAAATTTTTAAGTCCCATAAACCTAAATTTTACTATGCATTTTTGAGTAAATAGCAATTTGCACATGTAAACTTCTGTTCAAGATAGTTATTCTATTTTTCGTATGAGCAAAAGGTTATTTATGTAAATATAGAAAATCAATCACTCCAAGCTCCCCAATATTAAGATTCTTTTTTTTTTTTTTTCATTTTAGTCCTAAAGGCAGGACAGGTTTATGGACAAACTATTTGGCAGTACAGTCACCATAATCTCAGGTACCCTGTCTCAGTACAGGAGAATCTACAAGTATTTTACAAATGCTAATAGTTGCATTTTGAAAGGCAATTGTCAACAGTGTATACAATAATTCCAAGGTTTCTAAACATAGCATGTCTGTGATTTCAAAACTCTGTTCTTTAACCATGGGAACAATCAGAACACCACACAAACTTCCAGCCAAAACACCTGAGAAGCCTTCAGCTCTATGTTGATGGCTCCTCTTCTCTTACTACTCTTAGAAGACTATGCACATCAGTTTTGAATTAGCATAAGGCGGACAAAACGAAACTAAACTTTGAATCCAGCAGAGATGCCCTGCTCAAAACAAATTATCTTAAGCCAAATGTCAATATCAAAAGGAATAAGATGGAATAAAAAAAGACTTGCAAGAATATTTGCATAAATTAAGCCATATCTTTTTCTATTAGCAAGCCAATTTTATCTGAGCTTCAAAATATCAGGTTGGAAACAAATATCAGTCCAAATGAAAAGTTAAAAAAAAAAAAAAAGAACAGAACTGAATTGTACTGCCTTAATTGTAATTCCAACTACAGCATTCCAACTTTAATATTGATTTTATATTTACATATTAGCTGACATATAGATGTGTACTACGATGTACGTGTGTATGTCTGTTTTCCAACATACATATACACAGAGAACGGGAAATTCAGATGTGTAAATAATGTTAAGCACTATGCCCACAGGTGCTGACTGTCTGATGGGAATATATTTATTTGTGATTGGAGCTTTTGATCTTAAATATCGCGGAGAATACAACAAGCACGCTCAGTTGTGGATGGACAGTATTCATTGTCAATTGGTGGGATCGCTGGCTATTCTGTCTACAGAGGTGTCAGTCTTACTGTTGACTTACCTGACTTTGGAAAAATACATCTGCATAGTTTATCCTTTTAGGTGTCTGAAGCCCAGAAAATGCAGGACAATTTCCATTTTGATTCTTATCTGGATAATTGGGTTTGCTGTTGCTTTTATCCCACTGAGTAATAAGGAATTTTTCAGGAACTACTATGGCACCAACGGCGTCTGTTTTCCTCTTCACTCAGAGCAATCAGAAAGTTCAGGAAGTCAGATTTATTCTGTTGTCATTTTTTTAGGTAAGTTGCATTTCTTCTTTATATATGATTAGAGCTGCAAATTAACTTGATTTTTAAACAAATAAGATAGCTTTTCTGTGATGCTGTGATACTCCAGTAAGCACCTAGACTTCTTCCAGACCGAATATTTTACTACATCAGACAGATATTTATGTATCTTAAAATTCATGAAGGGCTGAGAAAGTAGAAAGAAATTAATGACTGTTCAGTTCCTGAATGAATAGACTTTGTCAGGGAAGTAAAGCAATTATAAGACCAGAGAAGAACTACGTAGTTTGGATCAGATGGCAACTATTTATCAGCTGATGATGAATGAAATAAATGGCTGAGAAGAGGCAAAAATTCAGTGTTCAGGTGAAGACAGAGTCAGATTGTCTGGCCACTTAATTCTACACGACTAGCAGTCTAGAGGAAGGACTTTTTTACTACCCAGCCTTCAAACAGGTGATGTGAAATTGACATTATGCTGTTAAATCATAACTAATTTTAACTTCTTAAACAGGTGTAAACTTGGCAGCCTTTATCATAATTGTGTTTTCCTATGGGAGTATGTTCTATAGCGTTCACCAAACAGCTATTACGGCTACTGAAATCCGGAATCATATTAAAAAAGAGATGATCCTTGCTAAGCGTTTTTTCTTCATTGTATTCACTGATGCACTATGTTGGATACCCATCTTTATTTTGAAACTCCTTTCTTTACTTCAAGTAGAAATACCAGGTATGTCCTTTCTTTCATGAGGCTGATTCAACTGTATCTGTAGAGTGTTTTTTTTTACTTTAGAAGAAAAATAGTTGAATATATTGAGCTATATAACTATAATGAACTTTGTTATATGTCTATATATATGTGTACACAATATCATGAACTATATAGTTTTACTACTGCATTGAAAGATTAGTCACCTTTGAGTCAGCCAAAAAAAAACCCAAATTCAAATTGTTCAAGTCTGTTTCCATAAAGTATCTATAAAATGTACAAAACATCTTTGAAAACCAAGGCTGAATTGCATTGACCTTTCTTATCTTGGCTTTTCCTGGTTCTGTTGCCTAAACGTGGCTCAAGACATACACCGTTTCCTATCTTGATTTAGTAATGATTCTTGCCCTACAATAACTTTCTTTTACAAACTGTACTTACAGTTTAATACATTAAAGTCAGATAAAGCTGTGCTTACCTTCTTTATGCTATGAATATATTCACATGTGAAACCAGCTTAACTTAAAAGATTAAAAATGGCACCTTATTTTTCATTCAGCAAATGAATGTTCTCTATTAGATACACCAGATTTAACAGTAATTACTCATTTCATAAAATTAAACACATCACAGATACTTGTCTAAGTTTACAGAAGTTTTAAGCCCTGTTTGACAGCATTTATTTTTCTTTAGGGATACACTGTGACAACTTTTGAAGTAAGCATCTGCTTTGTTTCCAAAACTGTAGCCAAAGGGGCAAGTTTTGGGGCCAGAAAAATAAGCTTACCAGGGCAAGTAGGGAGCTATGGTACAGGAAAGTAAAAAGGATAAATGGAACTACTAGGAGAGTAAAAAATGTCAGGTTTTGCAGGGAGTCCTGGAAACAGAGGGAGGTAAGAGGGCAGCGCAAGCATAAAAGTGAGAAGAAAAAGTACCTGTTGTGACATGAACTCAGCCTAGGAGAGCACGACCATCTCTCTTACCAGGAAGCTGTGCTGCACAGGCATCAAGTGCTTGCATTAATTAACAGGTAGAAACGCTGGAAAGTATATTACAGCTTCCTTTCTTTTTCCTTCCTTAAGGTACCATAACTTCTTGGGTGGTGATTTTTATCCTGCCAATAAATAGTGCTTTGAATCCTCTTCTGTACACCTTGACTACACGACCCTTCAAAGAAATGATGCATCAGGTTTGGTATAATTACAAACAAAGAAGATCCAAAAGAGGTAAAAGCAGTCCGAAAACATATGGTCCATCGTTCATTTGGGTAGAGATGTGGCCAATGCATGAAATCACACCAAAGCTAACGAAACCCGTGCTTTGTACAGACTCTTCTGATGCTTCGTTGACTACACAGTCAACAAGACTAAATTCATACACGTAAATACATTTTGAATCTTCACAGCGACATCTGCACTGTTAGCTTCACATCTGTGGGCTTACTGCTTTACAGCAATGAGGAGAAATGAGGGGGCTCATGTGAACCGAAGCAGGACGAAGAGGAATCAGTGTGTCTGTTTGCAGGTAGAACTGACACAACAGTAATTTTACCATCTCACAACAGTACCTGACATTTTGACAACTCAGCACATTCAGCACTTTTAGAATGAGAAGACAGTTGTTTGGTTCTTTTCCTGCTAGAAGCCAGGAGTGTGGGGAAAAAAAGAATTGTTATTTAAAACATCTCACCCTGAAAGCAGAAAGTTTCAAAATCATCTGTCTTCGGGGGAAAGAAAAAAAGTTATTTTCATTAAACATTTTTTTAAATTCCCCATTTCAACAGCTGAATTTTTTTTAAGAGTTTCCTCATTAAGAATTTTTTTTTCCCTCAAAATTTCTGACTGGCTCTATTTAGGCTACGTCAGCTTTTAAAAGCTTTAGAGAGCAACAGCCCTAAGAAAAAATAATTAAATTTTGTAATTAGACCAGTTTATTATATTTGTCAAAGCCAAACAAGTGAAAACTTTATTCCTTTCAATAATTCACCAACTATTTCACTCATGTAAAGACAATCCTGAAATTGTAATGATCATTCTAATTCAGGCAGAAACAGAACTGTGGGGAAGGAAAAAAGGTTTTTTCCTCAACTGAGTGTTTCCCAGCTATAGCTGGTGGAAATTTCCCCCTTCAGAAGAGCATCCTTCCCTGGAAACACTGGGCAGAGTATCCTGACATCTTGATGCTGCTCTTTTCCTCACTGTTTCTGAATGGGCTACCATAAGTAGCTCCCCATAGCTTGCAGACTTCAACACATTTCAGTCTTAAGATGTCTATCTCTATACATGGAATAATGGGAGGCAGCCAAATATAAGACTATCAGTCTGAATAAGTGTCGTGACATCTATGTTTTGATCACCTTATGCATCTGATTGGATGCATTACAGTTAGAATAATTTAAGGAGCACATTCAGCACTTTTGGGGATATTATTTCCCAGTATTATAAGAGT